AACCGTCGCCGAACACCCAGAAGACGCAAGGAGATCCGGATAATGTTGGCAAACATTTCAAGGAAAAGTTGTGTGTTTCCATTTTTCGCAACCACCTTGGATTTAGACATGCTTTCATGTTTCACGTTCTCGCCCGCCCAAACAGAGCGAACACAAGACATTCACCCAAACCCACCCTGTCCCATAGCAAATGGCCAGAATCCTGAATGGAAACCTTGCGACGTCGTCGGCACCGGTGCCATCGCGTGTTTTGCCGGAAAGACTTCTGAGTCACCCGCCGCCGTTCTCCTCACAATTTGTCCTGTCAACGTTTGATTTTTTTTCGGCATCAAAAGTTCTTCGCAGTGTTGCCCTATTCGTCATGAAAAATGAATTCATGCACTCCCCCCAGCTCCGTGGAGTTGTCGCTCCAAAATGCCTGACAGGTTTCCCTCGTAGGATGCAAAAAAAAGGCATGTTTCCCTCAGGCCAATTGACATCCCAAATCTCGCACCAGCCACCAAAAAATAGAAAGACAATTTTTTGTTCAATACTCTCATGTGGGTGCACCACCCTCCCCCCTTCGTCATCCTCAAAGTTTTGTTTCCCCGGCTGCGAAGGTCATATGGACCTGTTGGTGCAATTCCAGCCCACCTCGTCAGCCTTAATGGATACATTGCACAGAGTACCACAGTCTAGCTTTTGTCGCCTTGCACATGCATCAAAACGCCGCTGACGAACATGTGGGCCATAAGCGTGGCTTTGGTTTCAAGGCATGCAGACCTAGGACACGGAGAGCAATACGTTGAGGTCCAACCCCACCTTGCTACAGCTGCAAATTTTACCATGTCTCACATGGAGCCCCTGCCAATCCTAGCGTTGATGGCTGAAGTGCTATGGAGAAAGGCTTGAAGTGGCAGCCACACTTTGTGCACCAGGACCCTGCAGCCCCTGGCTGAAAATTAGATTTGAGTTGGACGTGCTGACACTTGAGGAAGTTTGGGTCTTGAACACGGCCTATAAACTCTATGGGCATTGCTCTCAGACGCCTTCGCGTGGACACCTTGATTTGGCAGTCATTTTGTGGGAGCATGATTTCAAGGCCATGGGGTCCAAATGTGGCCTTGAAGGCGGGATGGGCGCATTGGCTCATTTCCGCAATCCGAAGTCAACGATCAATGTGAAGCTTCGCTTCGCGACGGGAGATTTACTAAAGACTCATTTTAGGTATGCGGCTAGAACTGGCCATCCACCTGAATCCAACCATCACATTGCATGAAACGACATCGACAAACATATATGCTACAAAAACACAACGTTGATATCCCAAAGCATTTACTTGGTAACCACCCTCGGCGCTGCAGAGCGCATAGCAACCATATGAAAGCACATCCACAAGCATATCCATGTAGGAACCCAAAAACTAATCATGATAATCCCGAAACAGTTTTGATTGGATTATGGACTTGTGTTAGCCCCATTGGCCCATCCCACTAATGATCCAACATGCTCAATTTTCGGCCTTGTCAAGCTCGTAGAGCACAAAGGTGTTCCCTCAGCTAAATGCCAGCAGCACTAAGCAATGCTAATGTGTCTTGCATGCCAAAATGAAACACCTCGCGCCTTTTATTAGGCTGCCAGCGTTGAACAATCTTGAGGCCACACATGTAGGTCGTATGGACGAGCTTGCCAAGTGCTTGGCAGTTGCGCCTGAAAGCTCAGTGTGTTGCTGCCAAATAACTTTTCGGTATTTTTGTCAAGAAGCGAACTTGGGTCACCGAATGAGGCCACCGAACGCCGACGTCCGCTTGTTTTGGGTCAGGGACTTTGCTGTCTCTTCCCTTCGTGCCGCATCATGAAGACCTTTGTCCTACAGGTTGCTAAACTGACTTCATGTGGTGATAATTGTTGTGTGATGCACACAAGCAAGGCCTTATCACCCTTGAGTTGCCTCTCAGAGCAGAGTGTGGCCAATTGAGGCGGATGCAGTTGTTAGTGTTGAAGGGGAAGATTTGAGCAATTGGATCAGGCGGGGCTTGCACATGTTCCTGCATTCCTTCATGGTCATGCTGCGGAGCAGGTTTTTAGGCAAGAAGGCGCCCAGCGAACAGCAGTCAAGGGCCAAGCAGAATTGTCACAATGATGAAATCAGCACATCGGACTCTTGGCCCAATTCCATCCGTGCTAAGGATTGCCAAATTTTTATGGCCAAACATTTATGCAGCATGGCGAGGCCTCACCTATGACCATGACGACGCAGCGCAGACTGCCCCGCGCTAGTTGCATGTCGTGCGGACTGCAAGGGTAGGGGGTGAGGCTCTGAAACAACACTTTTAGGAGAGCGCCTTAGTCAAACTACAGCATGAACAAACTATTCATCTGGTCATGCTGCGATCGCTCTCCTCACAACGTTTGCAGGATGAAACGTGCATTTTCCTTAAGACCGCCGCGCCCAACACGTTTGCAGGGTCCTCCGATTTTTCACATTCTTGGGCAGGACATTTGTGCACTGGTCGCCTCCTGTACGTCCAGCGCAAAGTTCTGTCCAGATGCATGGAGCAACGCAATTTCGTTTTAGTCTGGTATGAATCAGTACGAATCAGTACTGGGTCAGTATTTACACGTGTAATTTGCAGCTCCACTTTTTCCAAGAGCGCTGGTGCAAATTCATGGCTTGTTGCGTGCGATGCCATGCCAGTGTTTTGCTGACCGGTTGCACACACACACACACACGGCACTGTCCGCGGTGCTGGCTTTGGCAATCCTCCCAAAACATAAGTATATAGACTGCAAAGGTTCAAGTCAATGTTCTGACTGTTGAAAGGCCTCCCTGAGTGCAGTATGTATGGAGGCAAAACGCTTGCTGCCTGTTGCCGTTTCACAGTCGCTTGATTCTGAACCGCCACGTGTTTGCCGAAACCACCCCAGACGTGGTCTCTGTTTGTGGGACTCGCTGTTTGGAGCGTCACCACTGCTGTGGGATCCTAAAGGCTTAAACTTGCCTGCCCCAGAGATTCATAGAATCTTCTAAGAACGTCCATCTGTTTCCAAGGAACCGAAAAAGGAGCCGAAAAGAACGTCCAAATTGACATGGGCCTCCATCTGCAAGCGCATTTAAGCAAGGAACTCCTATTTTTCCAGGATTTCTTTCAGTTTTTTTTCGGTATTTTTTCGTTTTTTTCCTCTACTGCTTTTGCTTCTGCCTTTGCTTTTGATTCTGCTTTTGCTTCTGCTGACTACCTACTTTGCATTGACACTGCCACAAAGTTGGATGATAAGACCTATATACACCTTGATTTTTGACACCCAATTGCACCAACCAAGCAACGAAGCAGCCCAACGCTGTCCATATTTGATTTGCATTGCGGGGAAGGCGCTGCGCCCTCCCCCGCACCCCCTCCCGTTTTTTGTTTTATAGTTGCCACTACCGTCCACCACCCCTACTATTTCCAATGCCCCTATCACTCGGACCACCCCGCTGCGAGTCTTACCACAGTCACCACAACTACTATTTTCTTTGCGTTGACGTTGCCACAAAAGTGGATTTCTACTTTGCTTAGCCCAAAGAAGCCCGAAACCACTGAAACCCAAAGACAACCGCAGAAAAGTCCCTATTGTAGTTCCTCTCTCCTCCTACTTCTCCTTCGTTAAATGGGATGCCTTTTCCGGAAGAACGCCTAAAGAAACCCTAAAGACAAGAAACCGAACCCAAAGAAACCCGAAACCAGTGAAGCTAAAGACAACCGCAAAAAAGTCCCTAGTAATTAGAATGCCTTTTCTGTTCCCTCCCTTTGTCACTGTCACGCTGGCTTTGGTGCTTCGTCCCCTGCCCTTTCGTGCAGCTCCTAGTGCTTGTAAAGCACTCCCAGCAGAAGCAAAAACAAAAACAGTAGGGGAAGAAAAAACGTGAAAACAAATTCGGGAAAAAATATGAAACATTACCGGAAAAATATCAATCCTTTAAGCAAACCAAGGGTCTACTGAGTCGTTAGCTACGCGTGATTGGATGTCAAAGTTCATGTGTATATTATCAACTACTGTAACCAAAAATGTATTCAACCAACTTATGTTGAATTCATTGCGGGGGGTCTCAAAAGAACATCTGGAAAAGGGCACTGGATTGTGAGCCTGGCGACTTTTTGAGGCGAACTCTCCTCCCGAAGTTTGCACGAGGCATGGTGTTTTTCTATGAGTTTGTGTGAGATGGTGTGGTAGTGTCGACAGAGCCAGGCGAAGCAAGACTGGTCACCAGACAAGGCCTGCTGCAGCAAATTGCCTAACAAACAGTGTTAAGTCGCAAGCATGTTACTGTACACCCTAACCGTAACATACGAGGAATGAATTTGTGCCAGTGGCCCTTGTATTTTCTTAATTTTTGCGGCCAGCCCACCCCTGGTGTGACCGTTTGGAAATACAACCTGGAGCAAGAGGACGTGGGCCCAGCATCTTGCTGTGCTGCGTGCTTGCATCTGGTTGCCCTTCCCGGATTCTCACCATGAGCTGTATCCTGCTGTATTGTCATTGAAGCTTTAGCGCCGCTTGGGGAACCTTTTTTGGAGGGACTCACTTTTGAGCTGAGCGATTCATTTGGCAAATGACATGTTCAGATACGCTTTGCCTCAAAAAATGTTTGTCAAGGATGACTGGCCACAACAGAGCGAAAGTAGCCGATGTTGGGAGGAGTGGCCAAGGCCGTAGAGAGCCTTCACTGCAATTTCATGAGAGCGCTGACTTCAGTAGGTTGCTGAGTTGCACAAGTAACCTGGCACTAGTTTTGCAAAACATAGAGTGTCCACACATGCTTGCCAGGGGCCCCACGGCAACAGGCATGGATTTCAATGCAAATTTCTGGCACTTTTTTCGGCACCTTGCTGACCAAAAGATGCCAATTTCTGTGGACCATTTCAGGCATGTCGACCTATTTGCAGAAGCAGCTTGGTGCCACAAGGGTTTCAACCCAGTGCTGCAGAGAACTAAGCTTCGTGCCCTTTATCATCTATATACGAAGTCTATTTCATTTTCGCCTGAGCCAAAGAAGTGCACAACGTTTGGCCAGCGCAGTGGAAAGGTTTCTCGGCCTCTCGCATGTTGCGAGTCTCCATGTCTGGATTTTCCCTGCTTTCGAAAGGGCCGCTCAACAAAAGCGAAAGTGGTCAGAATCCGGTACAAGAATCTGGATTTATATATCCAGCACACACATATATATATAATTACATATGTGTTCAACCGTCAGCAGCGACACCATGAATCTGAAGAACGGCTCATGTTCGATCACGCCAAGTGTGGGCGTCGTGGTTCGAGGCGACCAAGAAAAATAAGAACAACAACACATTATATACAACGGCTCTTTCTCTGGTTGGCTGAGCTAAAAGAGCGGCAGGCAGAATGCTCTGTTGTTACGTTCGTTCGAAGGTGTTGCTGTGAGCTAGTCCAGATTCCTTTTCCAATGGCATTCGCTCTAAGTGCAATGGACATGGTGTGAGGAGGTCTGGTTCCTGTTGTTACTTGCCTCCCAGTAGCTTGTCTCCGAAGGTTGCGGGATGGCGTGGCTGCAGGCAAAAGGGCTGCAAGCTGAGTGTAGCCATGAAAGCAACGAAAAGATAAACAATTTTGCTTCTGTTCACAGTATGCCGTGGACCCTTGCGCCTTCAAGGACCAAGGGCCTTGATACTTGATGTGTACGTAGCCTCCATCGTGTTCACGCAAAAGTTGAGCCAAAGACATATAGCCCTGGGTGCATTCACAATGTTACTCTTGCAAGGTCGTGGGTGTGTTGTTGGATATGGACGGACCTATCTTAAGATGCCTCAGTGCTCCTTGGCTGAAGGTTGATTTTCTAGAGCAAGAGCCTTTGCCACTTGTTTGAGGCCAATCCGCTTTCCAAGCGTGCCGATCCGGATGATCCACAGGCCAAGGTCCTGGTTTCCAATTGGTCTTTGTGACAATTCTTGTTGCGAGGTGCTCATAACTGTGCTTGGCGGTCCGAAAGGCATCACATCAGGTTTTAAGGTGGGAACTGCATGACACAGTTGCCTTCACATGCATGTATTCCCACACTGGCGCATCCAGCCTCCGCATGGTGTGGAGGCGACCGTTCAAGCAGTTTTCGGTTCGCAAGGCGTGGCTATAGTGGAGGCTGGCCCCGCTGGGCCATCAGTTGCAGTGAATGCTCAGTGCTCAATGAATTCATGAGTGCTGTACTGTTGGAGAGGCATCCTTGGGGCCTCACGAACAAATGGCACATGCCTGTGACCTGCTCAGATGCCTGGGTATTCTGTTCATTTGGATGTCAACGTGCAGAACTGCAAAGGTGTGGCGCATTTGCGCTTGCAGGACTGTCCAAGTCACAGCGTTCACCCATTGTAACCCTTGGCAAGCAAGGATGATGCTGGTCTTTTGCGTGCAGCCATCACGGACTTGCTTCACTTGGGGAACATACCTCAGGAGAGCTCAGTAGTTACTTTGTTACAATATTCTCTGTCAGCCGCGTTTTCCCAGAGACGCCAAGCGCCACCTGAGGCGCTTCCGCTACAAGTCCCTCCTTCGAGCCACTGAAGCTACTTTGCATCGCCTTTGGCAGAGGCTCTGCTAAGATGTTGATGAAAGGTTTCTTGACAAAAATGTACATAACAGCCACTATAGCATCGTTTGATCGAGTACTGTTTTGTTTGTGGCCTGAGTGCCTACATGGTTGTCCGCACCGATCAAGTTTTGGGCATGACAGGCAGTCAAGTAAGCCGCTTTGGAGAGGTGCTCCATGCGAACCTTCCACTCTGTACGTTTGTTGCGTGCAACATTGACAGGCCGGCGCGTGATCATGAAGCTGGTGCGGAAGCAGAAGCAAGCATCCAAGCAGCGCACCCAGCATGTGACAACGACTCCAGGACAGGGATAGATACTGGTAAATACCGACGCATTTGCAAGTGGTGCCCCGCAATATACTGAAAAAGAAAAGAACCTGGTGGTTCCTGGCTAGGCTCAGTCACCGAGCTGACACGTCATAGCCTGCAGAGTGCAGCAGAGAAATGATGTGTTGGCAATAGATTCCGGGAGATGACGTTGTCAAATCACACATGCATCTATTGCACTCATTGTTCTTGTCACATGACTTGCCCGGATTTGCCCAGCTTTGCGCTTATGTTCAGCAATCAATTGAGCTCAGGAGGCCAATGTAGCCCGGGTTTGCAGTAGCCCACCTGCAAGTGCAGGCGAACAGCATCCTCCAGCAATGTAAGTCAGCATGGGGCCAGAAGTGCTGCCGGAAGTGCTGTCAGAAGTGCCGCCAGAAGTGCCAGCAGATGTGCCGGAAGATGAGCTTTACGAATGTGAAGTCAACAACATCGCGAAGAGCCGCCACATTTACAGCCAAGCGAGAAGAAAACTATCGTCTCACAAGCTATCGTCTCACGCACGTGGTTTGCTAGCGGTCAGTGCGGCCCAACGCTGGAGCCATGCTTCTGGAGCCATTGCGCATGGAGTGCGGGCCACTGCACATGCCAAGGCCACTGCCAATGTTATGAAGAAGCTCAGCGTCACAAAGGCACTTGCGAAAGACCAACTGCTTCACGAGAAGTTCTCCAATTTATTGGTCAGAAGCCAAGAACTACAGCAGGAGAACTTCATGAGTCATAGGTAGCATGTTGTGTTGCACCTGTTCTCTTGGCATGGGTGTCACAAATTATCATTCGTATCACCAGGATCAACAAACATGTGCAATCAACAAAGGATTGGGAAGGAAGAAAGGGAGGAAGGGAAGGAAGACAAGCCCGCCTAGCTTATTCCTGCATTCGTGAATGCCTGTACAGTCCTTTTCGTCTCAACCCTGTTATGGCAGGTGTTTGCTTTTCGCTCTTATATAGCCTTCCCATGTTGGGTTTGCTTTGCCCCCTTTGTCTCCGGCGGGAAGTTGCACTTGGGCGTCTCTGTGAGACGACTGGCGGGACGAGTCATGCCCGCCAGAGAGAGAGAGGGAGAGAGAGAGAGAGAGAAGCTCTTACCAGCTGAAGTTGACAAACATCATCAAGTGAAGTAGCAAAATCAAACAACTTGGGCATCACATCACCCCCGAAATATCCCGAAATTGTCTTTGGAACTGTGCAGGACCAGTTTTCAGGCAGAACACCTGCTCCAGGTTCCGTCTCCCAGTGGCTGCAGAATGCTTAGGCACAGGCACAAACTCTCTGCGGCCATGGTCTTCGTACAAGTACACGAAAACACACGCACAATCTTATATATATATATAGAGCTCGTAAGAGCGTAGTCAGTTATGAAGATCCAGTGAAGTTAGCCCTTTGCGCTACTGAAGATTAGACTAGACCTTGACTTGCAAAACGGCAAGGCGAAGAGTCGGCCTGTTTGAACATTCGCATTCGCCCTTTATGGAAGAGTGGGGTCAAAGCCAAAGCTTGGACAGCAGTTCAAACCAGCAGGTACGTTGATCCAGCGTCCCAGACAGCTTTCACAGATGCAGCACTGGCGTCTTCGTTGGTGCCAGTCCAGTGCGCATCCCTGGCACCCCCTGCTCTGACTGTACATTGAAAATGTTACCGTGTGTGGGCCCCTTAGGAACAGGATTTGACATGCGCACACACACACAGACACATGAAGCCGTAACGGCGCTCCCATCTAAAGTCCTGAGGGGCAAACCTAACAAATGGTGCGGTGGGTTGATGGGGGTGGGGGGAATGGAATGGGAAATTTGACTAAATGAGCCCGAAGGGCCACTTCTCGAGGCAAACGAAGAGCGAAGAAAGGGGAGAAAGGGAGAACATGTTTTGCCGGAAGGCAGGGCATGTTTGCTAGAGGGCAAGCACGAATAGCCGTATCGGCGCTCCCTTGACTCGCAGGAAACCTGAGTTACAAATAACAAGCCTTGAGCAACCAACAAAGACCTGGAAAAAGAAGAGAAACCGAAAAAAGACTCCACTCTTCCATGAAGGGCTAGTGCGAATGTTCAAACAACACGGTTTGTGGCCAACTCTTCGCCTTGCCGCTTTGCAAGTCAAGGTCTAATCTTCGGTAACGTAAAGGGCTGACTTCACTGCATTTTCATGACAGACTACGCTTTTGCGAGCTCTATATCAAGTGTGACCTGCAGTGTCGTCCCACCGCGGTGCACTGTGTGAACCCATTTTCTCTGTGCTGCTTGCACAGACTCGCCAGCTGTGCCGTCTCGAGATTGCAGATTGAATGCCGCAGGGCCTACCGAATACACTTAACAAATATTCACGCCGCTCCAGGTGGCAAGGTCCGCCCGCACCGCCATGAAACAGTGGCCCAGCAACAAGGGCAAAAACTGTCACCCACACAGCCTCGAAATCAGAAAGTCTGCCGCCCCGGATTTCGCGACACATGGAAAAAACGACGCGAAAAAAAAGACGCGCAACAAACCGAACACCGAAGACGAAAAGTCAAAAAAATCACAGGTTTTTGCTAACGCCGTGCATGTTGCCCTACAAGTCAAAAGCGAGTCGGATGAGAGATGGCGTGACGCAGCAACGATCGTAGAAGGTAATACGCCAGAAGTATGCGCTATCTTCGTTCATCACTATATAATATATCACAAGGGTTCATCATGTTGCCGTTTAGTAAGTGTGGATCCAAACAGACTGTTGAGTTCAGCTCCCACTGCCAACAGATAGATACTTTGCATCTGCCGAAACACCGTTATTGACAGTGTTTTCATACACCGGAAAGGAAAAAACACTAGAAACAGCGAGGTTTTTGAGGTTGACGTTGCCGAAAACATCACTATGCACTGCATGCACCAGATTTTGTTGTTTTTTAATTCTCCACTGTAAATAGCGATGTTTTTGAGCTTGCCGTGGCCCAAAAAAAACTGCTATTTACAGTGTTTTTGAACCTGCTGTCAAAAACACTGCAATTGACGACGTTTTCAACGACATGGTCGCCAAAAACGCTGCTACTTGCGAGTTTTTTTTTCATTTTAGCGCAAAGACGTCAAGCACCGCACAAACCAATATTTCTGCCCAACAAAAGCGGCGAAAACCGTCGCCCAAACAGCTCCGAAATCACAAAATCTGCCCCCCCCGACAAGACACATGAAAAATAAACGCGTATCAAAACCGAAAATCGAAGACCAAAAGCAAAAACACAATGTTGTTTTTTCACTTTTCTGTTGCTGGTTCCGGGCGGGCGCGTGCACGAACTAGTCCATTCCGTGCTGTAAAAAACATTGTTTTTTGAAGTCCGCCGTCGCGACCTATCAAAAACCCATTGTTTTCTCCAAAAAAAATGCACCCCTCTCCAGGTAAAGCTGTACCTTACAGTTGCTTATGCCATCCGGATGATCACGCCCTGAGCACCTTCGGTGCGGGCGGATTTAAGCCGCATGCGCAACTTTTCAAAGCTTGGACTCCAGGACAGCAGTTCAAACAAGCAGGTATGCCGATCCAGCGTCCCAGACAGCTTTCACAGATGCAGCACTGGCGTTTTTGTTGGTGCCAGTCCAGTGCATTGCTGGCACCCCCGCTTTGACTGTACATTGAACATGTTACCGTTTGTGGATCCTTTAGGAACAGGTTTGACACATACACACACACACACACGCACACCTTCGAGATAAAGTACGTAGGGTCTGAATGCCACTTGCCCCAGCACATCAGTCAAAAGTGTTCGACAAGTAAAGCAGGCAAAATAGGTAGTACGCAAGGCGGTCCAAACATCCTCAATGATCATCAAGAAAGGACCCTTAAGGTTCAAAAACGCAGATCAACGAACACGTGACTGCAGATCTCAGAGCCCTTGCGAAGGGCAGCACCTTGTTCTAGTTACAAAGGGCCCACGGGGAAATATCAAGTCATCACGAGCAAGTACGCAGTTAGACGTAGCTGATGAGTGCCTTTTGTTAGCGCCAGTCTCATCAGCACCTCCGTTGCCCCTGCAATCCTAGGCAGATTTGTTTGTCTTCCTGTGTCTGCAGAAGTTTGCTGTGATCATGACCTACTTTCACGCGGCACACCTGCTCCATGCTACGTTTTGGTGGCTGACTTGCACGCGCCCTTACTACTGCTGCTGCGGCTACTGCTACTGCTACTGCTGCTGCCACTGCCTGTCTTGGGGCTGCAGCTACTACTGCTTCTATGACTCCTACTTCTACTTCTATCTTGACTTCTACTACAACTACTGCTGTGACTGCTAGTTACTAGTGCGATGCGTGTGTGCGAGTATGAATGATATTTGTGTGTGAGTGCGAGTAAGATGTCTACAGGGCCTGGTGTGTGTAAATATGAGCTAGATTTATGTGCGGCTTGCTCGAAGGCATTGAGTTTCTGTCGGCTTCGCATGTGTCGGTGCAAACAGAATTAAAGACCCTGGACAATGTTTCAGCTCTTTCAACCCTGCGTGATCTCAACAGTCTTGTCTTGATCCACCGCAGTGTAACTGTTTTGAGATTCATTTAGATTGTGCCGTAGTACAATGTTTTTGATCCCCTTTCCTTGTTCTCATTGTCAATGCGCGTCGGTGCATACCCCTCGTCGTTGTAGTATGAATTCTGAATGCCGACGAGCTGGCAACGCCCTCCCTTCACTCAGGCTATGAAAGATTTGGAAGAAAGGGTTGCAGTGCGCTATGGCGAAGCGAAAGAGTACACAGAAAGGTTTCGAGAAATACAGGATTCCATGAGTCCGCGGGAACAGGTTGCCGCCATGGATGCTGCGCAAAGTGCCTTGTCGCAAAAGGCTGTCCAACTGTGACCGGGCACACGAGACCATGCAAGTACCGGCGTGCGATGTTTTTCATCACACAGTCCAGCATACACACAGAGATCTTCCTTGCACTAGCTAGAGATACATTTCTCAGTTGTGGTAAATGAATAAAGGAAGGCCGTGCCAGGACAAGGATATAAAAGTACATCAGATCACAGTGCCGCAAAAGCATGGGGCAGATGTCACGCCTCGGAAAAATTGTTGAAAGCAACATGTGCCTCCTTCCTCCGAAGTGCTGTGGAGCACAACCAGTCGAATGCTGCAGCAAAGCCTATCCATGCATGGTGTTGTTGGACCAATGGTGGTACAGCCCCACATGCAACTCCTGCAGTGCGAAGATCCATATTGTTGTCCTTTGTTTAGCAGTCATGTGAACGGGTGAAATGAATATCGGGCATCTAGACAATTGAACATGGGCGGCAGACAAGTATCAGACATGGACACATCCATGCACATCCAAGGAGCATGCCTCTGGCATGCCTACCTGATGTAAGCTCGTGCTGTCATGATAGAGCACTCTATGTTCTCAGGTTTCAGCGGTTTTATGTTTTTGTTGTTGCAATGTTTCACCAGTCAGTCTGATTTGCAAGGTGTCCTTGAAAAGCTGGAGCATGCCAGAACATCGGTGGGTGCTGCAGTGTTTGACCCTCACTATCTTACAGATGTTGATGAAAGCCTCACGCAGTTGGGAGCTCTTTGTGAGGCAAAGACGTTGAAGAGCAGGTTTCGGGATGCCGCTTGGCAAGCAATCGTCACGAAACGACTGGCAAAGGCTGCCAAAGACAGCAACCCAAAACACGCTTTACGCAAGAGCTTCCAGCGGGCAATCAAGAAAGCCCGCGCAGCAAGGGCGTTTAAGCCAAACAGCAGTTCACAAGAAGGTGGTTTCAGCGAGGACCCGTTTGTAGCTGTCATGGGTGACATTGGCCACGAGAATCCTGCAGACCCTTCGCAAATTGCACATCAAATGGAGGAGAGCGAGCACAACTTCTTTGCAACCACTGCAGCGCGCAAAAGACATGCAACTGAGGAGCTGCTTTGGCTAGCTCGAACAAGTAGCCATTCACACGGCGCAAAGCCAGAAGATTCACCAGCTGCACTGACAGACGTCAAAAGACAGCACATGCATCCAACGATCCAGGCCCCTCATGGCCTTGAGGACCTCCAGGTCTCGGTTGTCGGTGTGCCCAGTCCGACCCAGAGAGGCTTATGGAACCGAGCAGCTTTAGCCAAGAAGAAGGAGATGGTTCGCTCCTTAATGCTGGAGATACACATGCAGCATTTTCATGGCCATGGGGCCCATGGGGGTGTGGTATCTTGGGAGGACAGTGGCCCACCTAATGTCCATCGTGTCAGAGAACAAGAAGGGCGGCGGATGCTTCCGCCTCCTTCGCCTGCCTCTCCTCCCTCGTTTCCGTCACCTGTTCATTCCAGGTTCCACCACCCAAGCCCAAGTTTGGAGTCTTTCTCACCTGTCCAGCTTTCATCTCTTGTGCCTGAGAGACTTGAAGCGAAAGCGGATGCCCAAGCACGCCCGCCCAGCATGAGAGCTGGAGGAGGTGTAAGAGCTGCAGCAGGAGCTGCAGCAGGAGCTGCAGCAGGAGTTGCAGTAGGAGTTGCAGTAGGAGCTGCAGCAGGAGCTGCAGCCGGATTTGCGGCAGGAGTTGCAGGTTCAAACCAAACAAACCAGACAAGTCACACCGGTCCTCCGCTGGGCTCGCCAGGTTCAGCGTCCAGGTGCCAAGTCCCGGACACTCCATATCCATCTCCCATGTCAAGCCCCAGAGCTCCGCAGATTCCACACCCTAAGGGTAGACGTAGGCCAGGGCCAAGTGCTGGAAAGCAAAGAGGCGTGGCCAATTTGCCTCACCTATCTCCTTTGAGGCGAGGCCAATTTTCAAATCGCAGTGCAGTGGGAGGCTCCTTGAGCTCCTCGCCTAGAGACGCATTACCAAGACACCCGCAGCACCCTAAAGGGGTCGCAAACGGGGACCATGTTTCACCCGGCTTTTATGTTGAGATCAGATCTTCGATGGGATTGTCCAATTTCGCCCGGAGCTGAGTTGTGTACGGCTATATGGGCATTGCTCACGTAATTATGCATTGTTCCCGCGCGTGGTGAGGTGGGCGCAGGAAGGGGGATTTGGGCGTTTGACCAGAGCTTCAAAGGATGTCAAATGTGGGGATGGCTTTCGCTTTCAAATCTTTAGAGGAGCCATAAGTAACAAATTGGAAGTGAGGACGGAGTGGAAGTATCAACGTGAGGAAATCAAGTGCTGTGACGTTGCAATGATGCAGTGATGAGTAGTGGGGCAGTGCCCACCGCTTTGCCGACCCACCACGTGGCTTGCTCACCGCCCATAAACCCCGCATCAAAGCTGCTCACCACTTTGCCGGCTGGCCACTAAGCTCCCTCCCTACTCGGCGAAATCATATCCCATCTAATGCAGCATGAAACTTAAAGGCCGCTTATATACATATCTCAGTGTGTATATTTGCATGTTTAGCTCTATATTTTAACTACACCCACATATAAACATTTTTATATGTGTATGTATACTCATATCACTTGGCAAAAGCATGCTACAGCGGCACCTGCACCCAGTTAGCTTAACAGTTGCTCAACTAACCGCTTGTTTGACTTTGCGGGGCCCATCATGCATCCGCAAAGGTGATGTTAAAGCTCAGATGCTCACCGAAAAATTTGGTTTGTCATACCTGTAATCGCGCGGGTCACATGCATGGTCACAATTTGCCCGCTGCAGAGATCATGGGGCCTGTGAGATGGACGTACTAATGCACTGCTCATCTCGAGCCAAGATAATCACCACAGCATGTTAAGTTCGGAGTGGTAGTGGGATTCAGATTCGCCTCACGGACGTCTCAATTCAACGTATGGAAGCGGCACGACGCCGACCAGCTGAGCGAGCTCAGGCTTCAAGTGCCCGACAAGCAACTGATGAGGGTGCTCACTTTGAAGGCGCTACCTGGTCCAGATCCATAGACCTTTTGTTTGTTGCGCATTTGCGTACGGTGTGTTTCAGGCGCAGGCCCCATTGACACGTTGCCAAAGGTGGGGCGTTGTGTGTTGATTTAGCGATTCGAGCAACGGCAATGGCAGTACTTGTGCAACTTTTGCCCCAAGGACCGAAAGGAGGACGAGGCTTCTGTTCAAGCCCGAAGAAATGATGATTTTGGGTCATCTTTGCTCCAAGCACTGGACGCTTTGTCAGCCAAGGGCCTTTCAGACGAAGCGTCTTTTGGAGCTGCAGCTTTTTTGGCAACTGTTGGAATTAGCCCACCAAAGCCGTGGACTTGGGAGCAGTTGGATTTGGATCTGGGAAGTTTCGGGCATCCTTTGAGCACAATTCGCACTTTCCATGGCATGTTGGAAGCCAGAGATGCCGCGCAGCGTGTTCTGAGTGACGCCGAAATGAGCATCCAGGATATCAGTGATCCTGCTGAGGTTATGGAAGCTTTGGATCGGATGGATTCACTTTTGTCCTTCCTGCAGCAAATCTGCATCCTAGAGGATTGTTTTGTGGAGCCGCCCCCGTCGCTGAAACTTCCAGACAGAGGGTCTGAATACAATTGGCAAGAGCATTTTGTAAGGTTGAGGCGCGTCCCGCATACTCTTGAATCTTCAGAAGCATGGCGACGGTTGGATGCAAGTGCTGACGTGCATGATCCAACAAGCCACCTGGAGAGTGATACTCTCCAGGAGCTCTCTTGTGCTACAACGAATACTTTGAGGACGCGTCCAGATCGAATTGAGTGGTTGAAGGAGTCGCATCAGTCCCTCATTGCCTGCCGAAGCCGCCATGTCGAGAGGGGCTTTGACTCAAAGCGAAGTACGCTGGAGAAAACGGTAAATGAACGCTACCATCGAGGCTTGCGGAGTCATTGCGTGCGGACAGACATGCTCGACATGTGGGAAGACTATCGTAAATTGGTATGGAACGATGAGGAGTCAACCGCCTATTCTATGTGGAGTTCCTCCAGCTCAACTGATGCTTGGCTGTCTTCTTTGGAGACACCCCCAAGTTGTGACAAATGGATAGACATGGCGGAATCGCTTCGTTGGGATGTCCTTTTTCTACATTAACGAGCGGTCATTTGCAGTTGCTCCAGTCCATAGTGCCACAGAGCATTTTGCTTTGCCGACCTAGGAATCGATCCTCCTCTAGATCTCCCTACATCCGCTCGAGTGAAAAACATTCACGGGCTGAACATGGCTGAACTCACACCAGCCATACATTTGCTTCACACATTTTTTTTTTGGGGGGGACATTCTTTAAGACTCTAATGTGAAACCTTTTTGCGCGATACTTTGGTGGAGCACTTCTTGTATCTTGTGCAACATGTTGGTTTGACATTTTTTCTCGGACACTCTGTGAGACACTCTTGTGCAGTATTCTGTTGCCTCAACCCTTGTAGGCAATTTGCGTGACACTTTCGCTGGACATTCTTCTGGGCCATTCTTGCACGACCCTTTTCTAAGGCACTCTTGCACCAGGCTTTCGTGGGAAAGGGAGCCTAAAGCTCGCAAAGATTTTTATTCCTCGCATCGTGTTGGCTCTTCCAAATGTCCACTTCTGAGGTAGACGCGCAAAATTGTCCCCCAAGTACCCCAAAAAACATCTCTAATATGACAAATGTGTTGCACAAAACTTCCTCCAAACATCACGCATTACAGCTCCAAAGCCAACATTTGGCGATATTTTCCCTAAACAATCAGTCGTCAAATCCAACAAAACGAAGTTTCAAGAGATCCACTCGCTTTTTGATTCTTGGTACCATGTCTGGTCATATTGAAGCACGGCATCTATTGAACCGGGGTTTAATTCCTTGCAGCTGAGTCTCAGGACAGTAGTTTGAACTGCGGTTTATTCTTATGGCATTCTGCGGAATGAACTCCTGATTGAATTCGTTTTTATGGCGAGCGTAGCATTTGTCTCGTACCCTCATTTTGAAGGAGTTACATGAGTCCCCTAGCTATTGCGCAGCTGTTTGCGACCAATCACAAGTAGCTCACAGTAGTGTGGGCACCAATGAAGTGGCATTTGTTTGCCGTTGTAGCATGCCTTGCGCGCAGTGTGGTGGTTTGCCTCATCAGGGAGTGAGGCATCATTTGATGGAGTCAGAAGATGGGGTGACAGCCGAGCTTGCCCGAGAGGGTTGGCAAGAGCATCATCAGATTGTACCTGCTCGGGGGGGCGAGGGAAATTGCCCCTCGGGCAAGCCAGGGGATCTTGGAGCGTTCAAGTAGGAGTGTTTGGTTGGCCGCGGGCTTGGTTCTCACCAGGTTCCGGGTTTAGAGCTCACTGGTGCTTGGGCTTGCGCTAGGCCTTGGCCGAGGGGGTGCCGGTTGTGTTTGTTTGTTTCTCCCTCTGGCTTGGTTTGGGCTCAGACCTCACTAGGGTATGGGTTTGGAGCCCTCTGGGTTAGTTGGCTGCAGGGCATAGAACTGCAGGAGAGGAGTGATTGTGTTTGTTGACCAGGAGAAGCTGGCTGAGTTTTGGCTGTAATTGTACTTGCTCGCGGGGGCGGGATGCCAGATCCTTTGCCTCTAAAATCCACCTTCGAGTTATGACGGGTTCCGCTGCTCAGACCGTGCACGAATACACACGAGCACTTGAGCCCCCAGGGCTTATTCACCCAGATAGTTGGGGACAACAATGGGCCACCACTTGCAGAATGAAACATGTCGAGGCAGCAGAGATTGCCTTGCAAAAAAGGCTTTGGAGCCGTCCGGCCAACGGGGGCTTGTGGAGGAACAAAACCCTTTCATATGGATGTTGTCACCCGCATCATGTTTAGCTTTGACCAGCTTGCTTCCATTGAGCCCGTGACAATATATGTGAAATGTGCGAAGCCCCCACAAGGTAGTTTCCCACAGCAAGCAATGGCAGGATTGAAAGCCAAAAGTTTTCTCCCGATCGCTTCACTTATTGCAGAATTAAACACAGATGTGATTCCAATATCAAACCGGCACCACGTATTAGAGGGCTGTAACTGCGCGCGCTAGATCGCAGCGTGCGCCACCAGACCTCAACCGCGAGGCTAGATCGCAATAGGCGCCACCGGACCGCAACCGCGAGTGCTAGATGGCAGTGGGCACAGCCGGGCCTCAACTGTGAGCGTTTGATCGCAAATAGAATGCTAGAACATGTGCCAGGAAGAACTTTAGAATGTTAGAATGAAAATTTATGAAAATATGCCAGGTACAACGCATTCAGAATGTTCCAGATAGAATGCCGCTATATTTGCCAAATAGATTACTAGAATATAGGCTCGATAGAATATGGTTGTAAATATGTATAGCATCCTGGCAAGAGGCCCCAAACAGTGTAGTATATCAGTGTAGTATAAGGTCTAGAGGTGTGGAAGTAGAAGTTCTAGAGATCTAGATGTATTGGGCCCCAGAGCGAGGTGATGGTGGTGTGGTGATGGTTGTGGTGATGGTGGTGGAGAGGTGATGGGTCGATGGCGATGATGGTAGTGACGACGGTGGTGGAGATGTGGTGATGGTGGTGGTGGTGATGGTGGTGATGATGTTGGCTGTTGTGGTGATGGCGGTGGTGAATGTGGTGCTGGTGGTGATGGTGTTGGTGGTGAAGAGGGTGGTGATGGTGGTGGTGCGGGGGGGGTGATGGTGGTGATGCTGCTGGTGGTGGTGGTGGCGGTGGTGATGGTGGTGGTGTGGTGATGGTGGTGGCGATGATGGTGGTGGTGATGAGGGTGATGATGGTGGCGATGATGACGGTGATGACGGTGATGAAGGTGGTGGTGGTGGTGGCGGTGGTGGTGGTGGTGGTGGTGATGGGTGGCGATGGTGGTGGCAATGGTGGTGGTGATGGTGGTGGTGGTGTTGGTGCTGTTGCTGGGGCGGTGCAGGGGGTGGCGGTGGTGATGGGGGTGATGGTGGTGTGATGAGGTGATGGTGGTGATGAAGGAGGTGATGATAATGGAGGGAGGTGATGAAGGTAACGATGATAAATATAAAGATCGATTACAACTATATTTTAAGAATTTTTACATCTATTTCTATATTTAATAATTACGAATATAATTCTATCGATTAAACAAATAATCATTTATATAATTTATATTTACGATATTTTGATGATACATGAATGCGAATTTTGGTAAGATTAAAATATATAAATATATAAATATAATTCTCATAAAATAAATATATCCTAAATTACTTATAACATTATGATAAGGCCTATCGAAAGGCGCGCGCGCAATTCGGCCAAGCTTTTTTTTCTTATTACTGTATCACTAGGCAAAAGCATGGCGCTTATTCGACTCTTGCTAGGCCGATGGAAACATGAGTATGTATCTGGTGATTTTGAGGTATAACACAGTACTGTAGAGACTCATACACAGGTCAATCAACAACAGATTCTACTAAACAACTACAACCATATCTAATTATGTATTGATATCCAATATCCACTCAGGTATTCGTATTTAATACCTAATCCATAATTAAAATTTTAGCTTAACCGAATTTCAAACCAGGTTTGCTATCCAATTTTGAGGTTGGGTGATGCTAATAGCTGTTTTACCCTAGGTCAGGTTCCAATATTGCCCATATTTTGAGTTTACTGGCATGTTTGCCCAAGTGTGCCTGTAGTTGTAGTCCATCTTGTGATATCACGCACTAATTTGCGCTGAGTTGTCTTTGTCTTTGTCCAAGAGACCAAGTTTTTCTGTGCACTGCCTACCATCTGGCGACCTGGCTGGGGCCGATCGCTATTGTGCAGAGAGGAGGGGAAGGCTGGGAGCGATTGTATTCTTGCCTGCTGGAAAAGTTCTGGTAAGAACGGCTGTGAAGTAGTCCATATGGCCTCGACGCCTTTGATGCTTGGGCTAGATAAAGCCCCGAAAAGCCAACGTGAGCCGATCTTTGCGCATAATTCGAGAGGCGAGATTCGAAGTTCGTGATGGCAGATCCGGGATTAGATCCGAGATCTGAGATTCGAGATGCGAGATTCGGGCTTCGAGATCCGAGATCCCACAATCGAAACGCGAGATCCGGGATTCGGGATGTGAGATCTGAGATTCGAGATGCGAGAGTCGACGTTCGAGATTCGAGATCCAAGATTCGAGGTCCGAGATTCGATATGCGAGATCCGAGATTCGCGAACCGAGATTCGGGATTTGAAATGCGAGATTCGAGGTGCGAGAGCCGAAATTCGCGATTTATGTATGAAAATGAATGTATAGACTTTTAGACGAATTTGGGTTTTGAAAGCAACGATTAATCCTAAGCATTTTTAATGCACATCATAGCATAATCGCCTACGCATATTTATATAATATCGTTAAAATTATTTTATTATAATATCGGCGAAAAAAAATTTTTATTTAAAATTAAACAATATCCATAAACATATTTTTATTCTGCGTTCTTTTTTTAAATATATTTAAATTAAAAAATACAAACATATGTAATAAATTTAATTATATAAAATTTACAATAATTTAATTTTCGATATTTAAAATAATTAATCGTTATTATTCTAATTAATTCTTCGGCCATTAAAAAATAGAAAATACATTTATTTAGTTTTTTTTCCGATATATATTAATATTTTTTTTTTTATGAAAGGTAGCCCTTTAGGGAATACCTTGAGTTTGTCTTGCGAAGCAAGTGTTGGGACGTCCGGATCTAATAATTGATCGCTCAATTTAGGG